CAAAGCAGTGTTTCCAAACATTCTAGTTTTTATTTTGGTTGCTTACATTCATTTACTTTGCACAGAGAGACATTTTTTCACAAAAAACAAACTTTAGTCAAAATGTGTTGTTTTACAATAATGAGTGTAGTAAGTACCTGTAAAATCCATTGCATACATTTCGGAAATTATTTATTGTTACAGATTTTTTTGGTCTATCACCCTCCCACATTAATTGAACATATGTTCCCCGTCTGTCATGCAGCCGTTGCTGTTATAGAGAGAATGAAGAGAAATCCACTGGTTTCTTTCTGGCTGCCGGAGCCTCAAAATTCAGCGAAGCTGCTGAGTGTTTCCCCCGACTGGGCTGACTCATCCTCTGGCGTCGGCCATTGTGAAGCGTGTGCCTTTACAAAATGTCAACCACTAAGCAGTCACATCAATTAGATGACTCACAGACGCTTTAGACAAAGCCTGTCCTCTTTCACGGCTTGTCCTGAGTCAGACAGGTCAATGGACTGAGTTGATGGGGCTGACAAATTCATCTGTTGGACTTTTTGGGCTCTGCTGGATGTTGCTATTTCAGATTCTATCTTCTTCTGCCTTCATGTGCTCTTCTGAAAAGCTGAGGAAAGGTCGACATTCATGAGGCTCCTCTGGCTGCTTCCTTTCAACCACCTACCTGGGTGTCCTTCCTCTCACTCATCCCCCTGCCTGTCCGCCCCCCCAACACTCTCACTCCACTGCTAGACCTTGGAAAACTGACAGAGATGCCTGCATCGGTTCAGGCGCTCGCTGCTTCCTGGCACTGTGGCTCACCTTCTCCTGTGAGCATACTGTTACTCCTCCTGCAACAGTAAGGAGGTGCCAAAATCCTTCCTACTCACCTTCGAAGAAACCGCATTAATCTGCAACCTCTGCGTCCTTGGTTGGTTTCAGAATGCCAGTTGTTGTACCTAATTTTCTGTCAAAAATAAAACCTCTGGATCCTCCTGCTCCAGAGTCTCATTAAGCACAAATGCCAACTTTACAAGTCTAGGATTATTAAAGAATTGGACATTTTAATGAACGGTTGTTTCCATGTCTCATAGCTCAAACAGGAAGTACCCTGCAAGACAGCAAAGCAGATTCATCATGTAACAAAATGGTTAGTATTAAATATGTGTTTTGTCCATATTGAACATCTGCTTGCTAATCAAGTGTGCAAACATTTAAACAGTAATAACCTGTTTGAAGAGTTTCAGTCAGGTTCCAGAGCTTAGCATAGCACTGAAACAGAGCTTGTGAAGTTATGGATGATATTCTCTTGGTCTCAGATAATGGACTTGTGTCTGATACACTCGATCTCTAGGAAAGGCTTGAACATGTTATCAAAGGAACATCACTTGGCTGGTTTAAATCTGACCTGGGTTAGATAAGGGTAGAGTTACCCCAACCCTACATCTCATCCACCTGGTGTCTTGCCACAGAGGAACTTTTTAATGACATCAGTGACCTCAGCACCACAGATCTGAGAGCCTGACCTAACGTCCCTCATTCTCTGCTTCCTGGAAAACATGCTGGTGGGATTGACGAGGGAGATCTGTGAAGTTTTCTTCCCACTGACCCACAGCGTTCTAAGTTGGGGTCAGCAGCACAGCCTCCAGTGTTGGTGGTGCACGGCTCCCAGCCCCCTGACATGCTGGATGCTGGTCCAGAATCATCCCAAAGCCATGGGGCTTTGGGGACTCAGGCTGACCTGCATGGATATTTACATCAACCCAGTGTGGGTAGTTATTTTTCTTAGGAGAACTCCACATCAAGGAAAGAGTATGTCTCCATACCCCCTCCAAACTTTCGAGTGTTTTGCCTGAGTGACCACCTGACCACATAACTCTTGGACCGCTGGTGCCCATTCAGCTGCTTCTGGGTTCCCACAGACCAAAAAGACTTGAAAAGACTCCTTTTTCAATCTGACTTTGAGTTAATGGACCCAAATTCCAGCTAGAGACTTTTCTATTATTACTAGCCTTTTGTGTTAACCATTGTTTTTTGGAGTTTGACAATAGGTACCACATCACTCTTCAGGTATTTTCTACATCTTTATTTTTCTTTTTTTTCTCTTTCTTTCACCTGCTTTTTGATATTGGGAAAGAGAGAGCAGAGAGCTACAATGAACCGCAGGCCTGCACACAGCTGAAAGCAAAAAGTTGTCATATTCCCTTTATTGGACCGGTTTACCATGTTGTATGTGGAGTCTGGAATAAAACAGGCTTAGGGAACAGATACTTATAACCAACAACACCTTTACTTACCGCAAACCAAAAGCGTAATGTTAACATGGGTTTTCTAAATTGATTACATTAGTCCACTTACACAGACCCTACGTGACCAATCTGTGCATCACAATGTTTTATCAAATTAAATACAGCAGTGATACAATTAGGGTGTGTTAAACGATCATTTTGGATTCATTGTAGCCTCCAGGTGTCTCAGCAGCTGCTACGGCTCATTACCGACGAAACCATGGCAACAGTGACATCATCACGGAAGAGAGACCATTTGTAATTTCATCCCAATGTACCAGATTGAAGATGAAGAGAAAAAGCAAAACAGGAAGTAAAGACCTGTTGTGACTGTGGAAGATGCTGATTGACAATTAAATTAATTACTGTTGAGACATCTAGTTACTCTCTTTGTGTGATCAATTATTATTTATGAGCTCACCAATTGTGGTGACTACAGGTAATGATGACTTGGTATCACTGGAACAATATCATTGGAAAGGAACTACCGAAATGTTTCTTTTTACTTCTGGTAAAAAAAAATTCTAATTCAGTTTTCCAGAAATTGACATCAAGTGACCTGATGTCTGACACATATGCTGACAGACTTTAAATTATAGAATCAATTCTCCATATTCATTCAAACCATAACTGTAGAGGTGACGATGGCTAAGTTTAACGAGGTATTTCGGTCTTTAGTTCATTGGGGACAACGGCCTCAGAGGGCAGAGCAGGGAACAAAAGTGGAGTGTAAAATCTTACAGCTTCTCAAATTTCCACTTTAAGTTGGTATTTAATGAAAATCCCCATAAACACTTCAATTTGACATAAAAGTAAAGATCTCTGCAGTTTGGAACAGCAAGAGGTGTTTGCTCCTTATTCAAATGTGTGTTTATAGAAGGTTTAATAGAAGTGACATTAAGACGTCCTTTGTGATGGAGCTTAGCAGAATGGAACAAGGTCAACACGACCTTGCCCACAAAAGTTAATAGACCAGGAAAGGAGATTACAGAAGCTGATCTAAAGCTTGCAGTAGTTTCAACCTCCATTAATTTATCGGATTTCAGAAAATGTAATCAGTGTAGAAAACGTCTAGATGACAGCAAAAAGGAAAGAAATGGAGCAGGAAATTTCTCCACATCAGGGATTATTGAGAGCGTCTTGATGGAGTGAGATATTTTTTTCCCTCTTTTTAAGAATAAGAAAGCACAGGCTGTATGTCTACCATGCCTTTATGCCTTGTGCTCATGACATGCCTTACTAAATAAAAACTATTTGAAAGGAAATGTCATAAAGTCTTCAGCTGTTACTGGGCACATAAAATACATCATACAATAGAGGAAAGTCACTGTCAAGGAGAAGCTGTAGGGCTGGAGTATCCAAAGTGATGTTAAAGTCTCAATAGGCTCATTATTTTTGAAAAGAAAAAAAAAGATCCCAGATTGACAAAAAAGCTAAAAGTAGAGAAATGATCAAATATTTATTTAAAACCTTTACTTCTAAGCCATGTAACACAGTTGCTATGTGGGACACTAAAACTGAAAAACGAATAATAGAAATGCTGGGATGTTTAGGGGGTGTGTGGTGCTGGTAAACAAGCCCTTTACTTGAACAAACTTTGACAGCTACCAAAAAGTGGATTATTGTTGTGTATATATTTCAGCTGTGAAGTCAAAACTTTGAAAGTGTATTTTGGTGATAAGAACATCCAGCACATTAAAGCACATTAAGGAACTGTTTGTAAAATCTGAGAAATCTGCATCTGGATTACAACTTGCTCTGACACCTTGCACTTATGTTAAAGAAAGCAGTGACAAAACCTTTGGCAGAATATACTGGAGAGGTTGTTGGAAGTACAACAGAACCAAAGTATATGGTTTTGGTTCAAACATTAATGTAATAAAGAAATAAATACGTTTCACCAGCATAACCCTAATCCAGCAACCTTCAACCAGCCCTGGACTTTTCTAAATGTCTCTAATTGTGTTACTTCATTTATTTTTGCTCATTTACAGCAATCTAGAGGTTTATGTTGGATGATTGTACCATAAGAAGGAACAGTGATATCAAAAATCCTTGCACTGCAGTTAAATGAATTTAAAAAACATAAACAACTTTCAGAATTGAGGAATAAGGATTGGAAGCTCCACACTGAATTTTGTGACACACACACACACACATACACACACGTATGCGCACGCACGTACACACGCACGCACACACGCAAACACGCACGCGCACGCACACACACAGACAAGAAACGCACTGGAAGAGTCAGAACACGGATTTTGACCAAATGCAGTTATCCATTTGTGCCAGCAGGTGGCATCGCCTACCATAGTAAAAAAACGGTCAAAATTATATCACAATTAATTTACTATACCCCAAATTCTACAATTCAATCTATTGAGAAGTCCATGAGTATGCTTTTATTTCTGTTTTATTTAAAAAGACGAGACTTTTCATCTTAGAAAATGGAAAATTTATTTATCTCATCCACTTCAAAGATTTTCCCACCGCAAAAAGCACTGTGCAACAATAGGAGAGAAAGTAAAGCAGAAACATAATCTGACCAGTTTAGGAGCATCTGAATGTGTATTTACGTAAAGGTTAAATTAATTTGGCGTCAAAATGAATGAGCGCCTTGGAGTATCTGCTACATTAAGTTCGTTTCACTGTAAATTAAGGGTTTGAGTCCAACCCTTTAAATTCCTCTTCAGTGAACAGGCTTCACTGCAGATAGACTGCAGAGAAATCACGTGGTTTTTCTGGTTTCTCTGCTTCTAAAAGTGAAAGTGAAAGTTCTTCCTCTTGCTCTCAGCAGAGTAACACCGTGTTTCAGGCAGCAGCAACAACGCAGCAAAGGTAGCTGACTCCATCAAATGTTTTCTTTATATGAATGGCTGTCCGACGTTTCGATGCATCTACTGTGGCTGGGTTTAAACTGGCACCTGTTCAAATGGCTTTATTATGCTTTCGGAGTTATAAACTGTGTGTGAGAGCGCGCGCAGGAGAGTGTTTGCGCTCGTGTGGGTTTGTCAGGGTTCTTGACAGCTTTGTACGAGCGCGTGCGTACGTCTTTGTGTCTTTGCGTACGTGAACGTGCGCGCGCGTATTTATTTAAATGTCCGTTTTCCCTAAAGACGCGATGTTCAAAACAATGACCGACATTTTTGGATTTACACAGAAAGATTTACTGATTCAAATTTTGATCTTGTTTTTGTATTTAGTGACCATGATTGGTTTCCTGATGAGGCTTTGGAGGGGTATGTTTAAACTTTATTCTTGTTTTTGTTGTTGTTGTTGTTGTTGTTGTTGTTGTTTCTAAACTGTAGGCTAATTAGTTCTAACATTTTACATACATTTTATATCACTTTTTACAAACATATAGATCAAAATTGATTGTATGTGTAGCTATGTGGCAAAAGGGAAATTGAAAGAGTTTAATATTCTAATTTTGGTTTGGAGGATAACAGTGCAGACTACTGCTATAGGGCCTCCACAGTAAAAAAAAAAAAGTCATTTCAATAGAGCAACATTGGGATGAAATTAGCATCATGAATACGCAGCTGATGAATCAGCAGAAACTGTCATTTTATTGTGTCAATCAGAACCAAAATAAATGAGAAGCTTTTCAGAAATTTGGATCTGTGCCACACAGAATTACAACAGTCCTAAAAAATACGGTCCATACTTGCGAGTTACTTGCGAGTTGCAGCTAATAAATTGAACAGTGGTTGTTTATCAAAGTTGCTTTATATACCACACAATTTGGATGAACTACAAAGACACACAGCTTCATTTCTGCACATTCTGCCATTTATGTGACTACAGAATGTAGAAACCAAAGTGAGTTTATTTAAAGGTGACAAAAAGTTCACTCTGTTCTTTATCCTGTTCTTTTTCTTCTTTCTTTTCCTTTATCATTCACTCATTTCTATCAGTCAGATAACAAAATTTTCACCCTGTGTGTAAGATAAATAAATAACACTGTTATCATCCTATTTCCAGGTGTAAGATGGATTTTTATTCAAACAGGTAAGTCTTGAACTGAAAGTATTTTGCTCACCTGTTCAGTACATGCACTCAGATTTTTCCTGTTTTGCTGTATTGAACAAACTTGGTTTTGGTCCACAAAGTCACAAGAGAGTTTTCCCAGCATTCTTCAATGTTACACAGGAACAATGGTTTGAAAATAAAGCAACTATCTTGTATGTTTTGTAGCAGTCGTGCATGCAACAATAAAGAAATGCTCTCAAGACTGTTAATGATGTAAATGCATAGTGAAATTTTATACAAACCATAAACATAAACCCTACTTTTTTTTTCTTTGATTAGGAATAAAGTTGTTTTTCAGTTTATTAGGTGAGTGAACTAATCTAGTCACAAGAAACATGGTTCATTGTGATGTTTGTGCTCTGTTTATATCTTTTGTTTTCATGTTTTGGTGATGGGCACAGTTAAGATCCGTGTGGTCACTTCTGGACAAACCTTTGGAGCTGATGAAGAGCTGCTGAACCAGCTGGGGAGGAACTTAGAGCTGCTTCGGACGGACCGGAACAGAAGCAGCGTCACCCTGCTATTCTGTCCAATCACCTCTCGTGTCGGGTCTGATGTGGAAGCAGCCATGAGCAATCTGTCAGGTAACATGTAAAACTCGCCGCACTGGCTTTACATGTTACATGTGTAACATGTAAAACTTTAACATGTAAAGCTTTAACATTGTTGCTATTCCGCTAATGTAAAAAAAAAAAATGCAATTTAGCAATTGTGGTGTTTCCATTAAAAAAGAAATACAGTTAAAATCAAGTGACTACGTTTGTTCACACGTTAAGTCAGTAAAAAGCAAACCTTGCCACTATTCTCCTACCACTTCCTGTCGACTTCTTTGTCTTTTTTGCCAGTAGTAATATCATGACTTCTTTGAAATACACTACTTTCAATACAGTAGAAAAAAACTGCCTCATCCTAGTGCAAAAATATTTGATCCAAAAATGTGAGTTTTTCTAAATCACATATTTACATTAAGAAATTTATTTTTGTAATTTCAACTTGTGCAATGGAAACACAGCTCCTGTAACATTTTTATAAGACAACTTTTATTTTCCAAATTTACTGAGGTACATTAAGCGCAGACAGGTCACAGCAGTGCTGTATTGAGTTTTGTTACTCATATCCATCTCTTGTTCATTTTCTTTTTCTCCACAGGAGATCAAAACGTGATCCTGGTCCTGATGCACCACACCAGAGATCCCAGCTACTCCACAGCCGGAACGGACTGGGCAGACGTCTATCCCAATGTCATCTCCAGCGTTCATGTTCTCTTCCATGAGAGCGTGCCAGGACTACTGACCTGTTCTCAAAACAACATGGCGGTGGATCAGATGCTGAGAGTGTTGCGCCGTTATAGAATTCCAAGTTGGAAAATAAATATTAAGCTTTGGGGGAGGATCATAATAATATCTTTAACAATTTATTTAATCTGCAAAAACTCAGAGTTTATAACTAATTTTCTTCCAAGCAGAGAAAGAGGCTCTGTGCCTGAACTCACAGAGCCTCTTTATGTCCGTGGAACCACAGAAAAACCTCATGTATGAACTGGGGTTCAGGTCAGTTCATCCCAGCACCAATTTGTACCCCAATTGTAAATTACTCTTTTAATTTAATTATCCAGTATTTGAGCAACCAATCTCAACCCATATTCTTAAAACATGGGGTATCAGTTTTTCATCATCCTCAAATTATATGTATGATTTAATTCAAATGCATATTATCTGAAAATTATGTATTATATTCTATACTGACTCATTTTGGTCCTGAGTGACTTCTGGACCAATTTAATCACAAAATAGGGTAGATTCTGACCTCTAACCTTTGTCACTGAGAATGCCCTGGTGGACATTGGGAAGATATGATTTGTTGGAGTCATTTAAATAGATCATAGATCCTCAATGAATGACCAGCCATTACAGAAGGGGAACCATATATGGGGGGGAAGTTAGGACAATTACAGGGGATCCTGACTGACAGGGGTCCCTCCCACAATTTTTATTTATTTTTTTGTTCATAGAAATGAAAAATAAAATGTGGCCCTGTCAATTACAAAATTCTAAAATTGCTTTTAGCAGTAAAAATTAAATGTTACCACTCCCAGACAAAAAAGCACACATCCATATTTGCCCTGACCCCCACCCTCCCCCCCGGATCTGCATGAAATGGAGATCCTGGGGGGAGAGGGTGATGGAGAGGGTGTTCAGCAGCAGTCAGTAGAAGACTAGAATGACTGTGGCAATTACTATGTTGCTAAGAAAAATAAAGTCAAGTTTTCAAAAAATAAAAGGGAAAGAGAGAGAAAAAGGTAAGAGTGTCAATTTGCAACCCAATTCTCTGAGAGATGAGTAGACTGTGTGAGATTATTAAATATTTAGCTTAGTTAGCTTAGTTAACTTAGCTACAAACTACTGTTTGCTTCCTTTTCACTGGCATTTAATGAATTAAGGAAAAAATACCAAGATATTCATATATTTAACTTACCCTTGCACCTTTTACCACTTAACAGATGAGTCAGTCAGCAGCAGCTCTAGCCCACATCCCTCCTGACCCGTCCTCTCCTAAGTGAAATTAATGCTGCAGTATGTCACTTTTATAAAAAAAATTTTTTTTTC